AGCGAGGGGCTGGGCGGCCGCTCCGGGGAGTTTGTGCTTGGCCGCTGTGTCACGGCCGAGGGGCGTCCTTTAGCGCCGGGGGTTTCATCCCGGTGACCTTGGGCACGTCGCTTCTGCCCCTCGTTTCCCCACAGCGAAGGGGGGTGAGGCGGCCGGCTTCCTTCCCTGCTGGGCTGGGAGTTCAGCCTCGGCGGGGGCTGCTCGGGGGGGGGGGGGTGGGGGGCCCCGGGGGGGGGGGGGGGGGAAAAAAAGCCACTACCGTGGCTACGCTCAGGACAGGGCCGCTCACCTCCAGAGCGGCGCCAGAGCTGATTATCAGGGCAGCGCTCAGGTTCAATTAGCTAAGACAGTATCGACCGCGGTCTAAGGCGATGCGCTCTAAGCAACAGGTATTTCAGGTTAGCAGGGGTGAGGTGCTTTTGCCTGTGTCAGCGCTGTTCGCGCGATCCACTGCGATTCGAGCGCGTGTGCGTTTAGTTTCGACTGCTGAGCTGGGGCCTCCCCGTGCCCCGGGTGCAGGGAATGCTCCGGGCCGCTGGGTTTCGCCTTGCAGACGGCATTACCGTCTAGGGACGTTGCGCAGAGAGCCTCGGTCGGGGGAGGCTTCGGGGAAATGCTCCTCCTGTCTGTGACTCCTGTGGGGCTGAGGCTCGTTAATACCTTAGGTCTGTAATCAGAGGTCTCTCTGCAGAAGGAGGAGGAGGATTGTCATGATTAATTAATTAGACGTGCTGAGGAAATCATGAGCTTTCTCAGAAGCCTTAGATGCTACTTGAGGAGTTAACAGCAGGTGGCAATCTCTCCTATAAATTTTCTTGTGGAACAGTGCAGAGCTTGTGAATTTTTGCCAGGTGTCCACAAGAGGTTGCTAAAAGAAAAATTTCTCCTGCTTTAAGGGGTCATAAGTCTGGTTCTGGATGTAGAGGTATAAAGCGTATGGAAGAATCTCCTCTTTCTGAGGAATAAGGCTCAAAACAAACTCTTTTCCCTTTCAAATTTGGAGTCCATTAATATGCGGAGGAGGTGCTGCAATGAATCTCAGCTGTTAGAAGATGCTTGGGAGAGGGTGGGATACTGTGACCTTTTGGCTTCTTACACATCTTCTGTAGGTCTTCCCAAGTCTGTCACTGCTGCTTTGCCTTCAGGCAGAGGGACATCTGTGCCTTTTCAGGGGTTGTGATCTGTTAACAGAGCACTGACCTGAAAGGTGCATGTTTGCTTTCCTGTGACTGGCTTGGGTGCGTTGTGCAAGGTGCTTTACCTTCCCGTTCTGTGCCAGCTTAATCTTGTGAAATAGGAGCACCAGTGTTGCCTTTCTATGCAGAAGGCTTTGTGATCTATTGAAGGGTTGGACGACTGATTACTGCTTTGAACATTTTTGTGTCTTAACTTTATATTTGCCTGTTGAATGTGAGTTGTGCTGCGCAACCAGTCTGGCATTGAGGGAAAGACGGAGTTGGTGCCATCGCTTAGCTAGTCCCTGATGGTTGTGCTTCTTGTTGCTTCCTCACCAATTAACTTAGGTGAGGGGAGAGGTCTCTTGGCCATCGCCCCTTAATTTTGATGGATTCGCAGGGGAGCGTGTGTGTGCAGTGAGCTCCCAAGGTGATGGATTGTAACTGGAGGAGGAAAAGGCAGGAAAGGGTCTGGTAAGGCCTTGACTAAGTTAGAATAAAGTTAATATGAGACTAGAAATAGGTACTTTGAGGTCTGAGAGATTCTGCTGTAGGCTAACGCTGACAAGCATTAAAGCAATTCTAATCAATCAGCATGTTCTGTGATGAGGGAATAGTGCCTGGAGGGGAGAGGGATGTCCATATCTTCTGGCTAGTGTTAGTAAAAAGAGTATGAGTTACTAGTCAGCAGGCCCAAATCCAAGAAGTAATGCCAACTAGATCCCCCTTTCAGGTAATTGGAGACCAGAACTTCATGTAAGCCGCAATAGATGCCTGAAGTTTCCTTCAAACTTTCTCTTTTATGTGGTTTGATCAGACCGTGGGTGTCTAATCATGTTTACAACCATGTTTATGAATCTGGCTCAGAATAAACATATATTCTGGTTCAAGTAAGACCAAGCTGCCAAAACAGGTGCTTGTAGCCCTGCATCTGAACAGACGGCCTGTGTGATGAGAACTGGGGCTTTGCTTTTAGCCTGGCTAAAGCAAACAGCATTGAGTAACCAGGGTAGATTAATCACAATGAGCTGTCAAGATGCAGAGGGTTTTGGTGTGCTGCCAGTTTTGCTTTATTCAGCACAGTATCAACTGAAGGCTCCGTTAGCAGCTCTGTTCAGCTAGAGTTAAGTGATTACAGCCAGATTTGAAAGGTTTAGGAGGCGCTCGTGAGCATGACCCTGCTAGCCTGTGAATGATGTATCTTTTTGAGTATCGCTACTGCTATAAGTTATTTATATTACTGACAGGCCTAGAAGGTCTGGGCGTAGCCTGAGTCCCAGAGGTGTTGGGGGCTTTATCCTCAGCAAGAATGGGGTCCTACATGAAATTGCAATTTGAGTGTTGCAGGCTCCTGGCTGCCTGTTGTTGAAGTTTGACTTACAATTATCCTGCTGCATTACCACCGAGCTAATCCCTCTTCAGTGCCATGGGGGAATTCTGATGCCCTTCTATAGGTGCCAGTGGATCTAACCACGGTTAATTAAAAGAATTGTTGTCAGAGTTGAGATCGAAATGCCATAGTTCCTTTTGGATCACTTGCCTTCTACCATTAAAAAAATTCATTTGACTTTCTTCTTCAGTTTGTTTCTTTGTGTTTTTTGAGCAGAGTGAGAACAAAGTACAGTAACTAAATTGGCACTTGATTGTATTGTACTTTGTTTTCTCTTGCCACGTCACTTTGCTGTTTGGAATTTAGCCTGTCCTGAGATTTTTTTCTGCTTCTTTTCCGCCTAGGTATATACTGACATGAGCTTATTCAGAGAGAGCAACTAGAGCTTTGCAAAGACATTTGTTTAATTTCTGCAGCTGATTTAAATGAGCCTGGACTGAAGACTTGAGTATGTTGTTTAATTTAGATTCCCTTCCTTTTACTGGAACTCTCCTATAATGGGGGCATAGGAAGAAAAACTCTCCTATAACTGGGGCATAGGAAGAAAAGAGCTATGTATGAAAGAAAATCTGGGATCAAACATATGGCCTTTTATTTTATTTTTTTAATGAACTCTAGAATACCCTAATTCATCCCAGTAAAACTGTATTAACTAGCTTAGGAAGTATCAAATAATTCCTCCTGTAAGGGGAATATTTTGTTACTGGGGTGGTTATTTTCATGTTAACTTTGTCAGGCTGTTCTAACCACTGTGGGTTTTTTGTTTGTTTGTTTTGTTGTTTTTTTTTTTTTTTTCTAGAGCTTGGAAAATGAAGCTAAAGGAAATTGAGCGAACAGCTGTTCAGGCATGGAGTCCAGCAAACAACCACCCTGTTTATCTAGCAACAGGTAAAATTCTTCATAATTCAAGGAAATTAAAGTATGAGTCAAGGAGAGAGATTATGTGGTAGCAGTCATATCTTTTAACAATTCCCACCGAAATAAACACTGGAAAAATTAGAAGGTGTTTTTTGTTTGTTTGTTTGTTTGTTTTTTATTATGCCAGTTTTTGACTCCTTAAAGGACTCTTTTTTTTTTCAAAGGGTGAAATTAGCTTCTAATTATGTCTGTTTGCTTCAAGTGTCTGAACTGTAACACCTACTTGCTATAAAAAATAAATTAAGGTTGCTTATTTGGTATGTCTGTGGAGCAAAGTTCATTCTAATCACATCCACTTAAGCTCATTTTTACTTTCCTATGTTTCAGACACTATCACTTAACTTGACAGCCCAATCATAGAAATCTCTCTCCCTTTTTTTTTCCCCTAAAATTGCCTTTTTCTGCTTACTTTCATTTTTTAATACTTCCGCAAACCTTTAAATTTGCATTTTGTTGATATTATTCACTTTTCTCTATTCGTATAAACCTTTTATTTCCTGAAGCTCAAAGTCAGCATATTCACCGAGTTGGCGGTAGGCCAGTTTATTGTCGGTGTGGAACTCGTGGCCTGAGTTGTTTCCCCAACACGAGTGAGCCAGCCCTGCTCCTGGGTGCATTGCACAGCACTGCATGTTGTTGCTGTTGCTTTTTTATGGGGCTTACCACTGGAGAATGTGACTAAAGTTCAACTGTTGCCTTAAAAGCAACATTACTACTTTTAGGGAAGATGGTCTATTTTGTGATTCTCTAATAAGGCCGGAGTTTTTGTTATACCAAAGGCCTTGGCCGCATTCTACTTTAAAATAGAAACTGCATCATTTCATAATTTATTCTGTTTTTTTAATAGTCCCTTGGGCACTTCCCCTCCCATAGGCACTCATGGAGGATCGCTGTGGTAACTGGGCGATGTCCCATTAGACAATCTTAAATCTATTTTTAGATTCTATAAACTAGGGAGAAGCAAGGAAGTTGTCCCTGTGTGACTGCTACCTCCTTCTGTGTTCTCAGTGAACTTTTAGGTGGCTAAGTTTGAAGAACTTTTGCACTCGGCTAGGTTTAGAAGGCGTGATCAAGACGTTCTCATCGTGATTGAGGACCCGCATACAGAAGTATTTGAGATCATAATATATGGGGTTTATACCTGGGTTTCATTACACAGTTGTGTTTGTGGCTTTGTAAGGACCTATTGTCAATGGTTGTGGCTGTTTGGAAGAGCCATATGAATTGCATCTCCCCAAAAAGAAAAAGGTATTTTTGCATCAGTGACCTGGATGTTCAGAATTTCTTGAAGTTTTGAGTTTTCAGAGTATTTGCCTTAGCTTTTGGCTCCTCCGTCTGCGCTATTCAGACATGTCCTTTCCTTGAGCAGGCAAGGACATGCCGAATATCAGTCAAGAATTGATTTGTTGGTGAACGATTGGTTGCAGTGCTAAAGCCTTGCTGCTCTTGTGTCTCAGGTTCACGTGCCCACTTTTAAGTGTTCCCCTTATACTTCTGCTAGGAACGTCTGCCCAGCAACTGGATGCATCCTTCAGTACAAATGCCACCTTGGAAATATTTGAGGTTGACTTCAGGGATCCCTCTCTGGACATGAAGCAGAAAGGAATCCTTCCTGCCTCAAACAGGTACTAGAAGCTGTGGAACTCAAAAGGGTTTTTCTTAGTACAGGAAAGGGGAGAGGGTAAAGTCATGTTTTCTGAGTTTAAAGTGATCTTTTGGAATTACAGAATCACAGAATGACAGAATAGTTGAGGTTGGACGGGACCTGTAGAGATCATCTAGTCTGACACCCCCTGCTCAACCAGGGACACACAGAGCACATGGCACAGGGTGGCATCCAGGCGGGTTTGGAAGATCTCTAAATCACTCTTAACCCTCACCCTACTCCTGCTCAGTAGATATTCAGGGGAATATATGGCAAGGTCACTTACAGTTTGACTTAGTGTGCCTTCTACATATCAAAATACTGCTTAAGACAAATGTTAGGAATGCCTAAAACAATTCAAACATAATTAGAACAGGAAAAATCAAAACAGCAGTACTTTGGAGTGGGCCTACACGCTTTGTTTCTGTTCTGAGAGAAACTAATGAAATTCCATAAACTGATGGAATGAGAGAGTTGAATTGAGAAAAATACATGGAAAAGCAGTGGGAAGACAGCAAGAAGGAATAAAGAGGGAGGTGAAGGCACCAGAGTGGGGCCCTGCTCACAGGGAAAACCATATTTAGACAGACCCAGAGGACAGACATCTGGCTGGTAGTGAAAGAAATTACCTTGTTACGAAGTAGGGAGAGCAACAGCTCAAATACTGCAGGAGATGTCCTAAACAAGGAGCATGCCTTCCTTCCGATTGCATAACTCACAAGAATTCTACCTCCTTACAACAATATTTCACAAAAATATTGAAAAAGTTTTGGGGAAATGTAAAGCAAATTATGGGCATTTCTCTGTAACCTCTAAGATTTTCAGTACTCTATGAGATTCTGATAATGTTATCATTCCTAACCTGCCTTTTTAACTTGTTTTCCCTCGGGCCTATTGCCTGTCTTCCCCCTCGGGCCTACTGAATTAGTTTGTCCTCTGCCTTTAAGGACCTGATCATTCTTAGCTTGAGACAAATCATGTTGGGTATGGAATGTCTTTGCAAAGGTACAGCAGTTGGATCAGTGGAGAAGCCTCAAAGGGCTTCTGTGGGGTGGGTTCTTCTGTCCTGTAAATGGGTCATGTAGATTAGCTGGGATTTTAGGTTTACAATTAAAAAAAAGGCAGTAGAGTGATGCTTGCTTTCTAAGAGGAGTGAATTTATTACACTTGCTGGGGATGTTTGTACTCAGTGCAAAATAGTTACCTTTGATTTGTAATTAGCAGGTTTTACAGTGAATAAGCTTTTTTTTTTTTTTTTTTTAATTTTTTGAAGGCTGGGAAGAGCCTAATCCTACAATACAAGCTCCTAATCTTACAATAATGTCCGTATTGTGTAGTTCAGAGTATTTCACTTACCAAATGCCATGTGAACTCCTAAACTCTTTAAAAAATAAAAATAATTTTAAAAAGAAATCTATTGTAGCTTCCTTTTTCAAAGACACCGTAAGGAAGCTCATTTCTTTTTGGGTGCAGGAGCCACAGTCAGCTTCAAATGAGGCAGTTATTTAAGGTGTACAGTTTGATGTGTGTGTTTGATAGGGTGGAATATAGATGTGATTCTTGCAGGGTATCTTGACTTCCACTGAATATTGTGGCTTATGCCGGCTTCATCATCTCCTCCTTCAGGTTTCATAAGCTGATCTGGGGTAGCTTTGGCAATGAGTCTCCTGAGTCCTCTGGAGTGATCGTTGGCGGAGGGGATAACGGCGTCCTGACCATGTACAGCGCGCACCGCGTCGTGACTGCCAAGAGCGAGCCTGTGATTGGGCAGACGGAGAAGCATTCTGGCCCCGTTCGAGCCCTGGATTTCAACCCTTTCCAGGTACGCAGCCTTGAGACACTCGCAGCTAATGAACGTTAACCACCATGAATATTTCCCATCTTTATGCAGATGTATAAGCTGAAGGAAGGGATTTAACCTGTGCGTGGGTTAAATAGCATAGAGGCATGGTAGTTGTGATGCAGGACTGGTCTGGAACTACATTTTTAGTTCTGTTTGTTTTGTTTTGTTTTTTCACTGAGTTCCCCAGTGGCCTTGATTAAGTTGTTAACTTCTTTGTAAATCAGCTGTTGCTGACTTCAGGAGCTTTGTGGGGTTTGTTTGTTTGTTTGTTTTTGTTTAGACTTATTTTTAAGAAGTCCATCCCTGTGAGCAGGAAACTCAACTGAGCTTTTACTTTACTTACAGAGTAACCTCTTGGCCTCTGGAGCAAATGATTCTGAAATTTTCATCTGGGACTTGAATAACTTCAGTGTGCCTATGACACCAGGAACTAAATCACAGGTAAAGGAGTTTTACTCCGGGCAAGACCTCTGCAGTTTTGTATCTCAGTAAGCAAGATGAAATGATAGGAGGGTGTGGAGTGATCCTGCTGTATTCACTCTCTGAAGGAAGAATCCTCTTGACCTCTCTCAGGAGAAAGATGAGTCAGAACTGACTAATTAG